TCATCTCACTAGTTCTCTCAACTGCAAATATTGCTACCTATTACTATTTTAAATAGTTGAAGCTTAATTAATATTTCTTTCTATAAGATTTTATCTGATCCAAAGTCTTTCTTTTTTATCTTTTTTTACTTTGCTTCTAATTCACTTTTTTTCCCCTTTTTAAGAATTTTCATTAGTGTTGTTTTTTTTTTTATTAGTTTTAATTCACAGGTACCTTCTCATACCCTTTGTGTATTTATTCCTCTTCATTTTATCTAATTTAGTTGAGAACTAGTGAAGTTATGACTACTTTTGAAATTTCGTTATCTTGTCCCACTTCCTGGTAATATATCACTTCCAGGTTCTTTACATTATCTTATATAAAGATTAGCCTAATATCCTTTTCAACCAATTTCTCTACAAAGTTAAGTCAAGAAAGGCTCAAGGTTCTAACTTGTATATTTACATTTACTCTGTTTCTATTTCTACTCTCATCCTATTCCATGTTCTCTTCAATCTATCATGCCAGCAAAATAGGCTCATATCATCTACTTAATAATACCAGACCTCCTCACCCTCTTTCCCTACTCTGGAAGTCATTTTTCTTGAATGTTCTGAATACCTATTCAATTGCTGAATCTGCAGATTTCTCCACACTACATTCATCACTCCAGACTACTTTTATCCATTACTCAATACTCTAATATCTATACCTAAAGTACTATTTATATCCCTTTCTTGCCAGAACAGGTGTCAACCTTGGTCACTTAGCCTTCATATACTTGTGAATATTATATAGTACTAGTCTTCTCTTAATTGTTCTAATAGAGATATGTGGGGTAAAGTCTTAATACAATTGCCACTATAGCATTTCTCTTTCATCCTTAAAGGTAAGAGGCTGAATATAGATACCTTTGGGAGAGTTTTACTGAACCCTGTCAGTTCAGATCTTGGCTAAAACTGAGCCAATAGTCAGGTATGGTTAGTTGGCAGATGAGAGGATTGAAGAGGGTATTTTTAGTTAGTGAGAAATTTTAGCAAAACTTGTACCAACCTTTCTCATTCCTATTACTTTCCAGTATATAGCCTCTTGCTATTCCTTCCATCTCTCTCTTCTCTTCTGGTGAAATCTTTTCATTATGGTATGAGGTTATACCATAATTGAAGTTGTAATTATTATAGTACAATCAGTTGCATTGTTAATAATAACTTTTGTCCAGGAACTATACCTCCAAGGTAATGTCATTTAACACTATAGTAGGGTAACCAACAACTCAAAGCAGGGTTACTCTAATTATAACGTAGACTAGCTCTCTTCCAATCTGCGAATAAATAACTGTAAAAGTCTTATATACTATTAATATTTTCAAAAATCCTCTCAAATGCCATAGTACTCTTGGATCCCACAGAATTTTATTATATAAGTTTTTTGATAATTGATTTTAGAATTTTAATTAAAAGAATTTTTTTCCATAACAGAAATTCAGAGTAAGAAAAGTCTAAGTAAATATATCAGAAAGAATTATACCATGAGATAGAGATTTACTAGTCATGCAAGTAGTGACAAGTAGGAAGAAGTACAGAGAGTGCAGAGCAAGTAGCAAAGAGCTGAGGGAGAAGAGTAGAGAGTACAAAGTGAGGAGTGAGAAGTGAAGCAAGGTGAGAATAGAGCAAAGGATAGAGAGTGAGGAATTCTAGAGTACTGTAAAATCTCTAGAAATCTACTATCACCAGTCTGTCAGTGATGTCCTTGTAACTGGTAACTTTCACTTAAGATAGATTTCAATTACAAAGCTAATAAGATCTAACATAGACAAGTAACTCAGTTTAAACTGTGTCAGGAAAACACTAATTCTTTTTAAGAACTTTTAACTTAGAATCCAAAATGTGGTGGCTACAGAAGATGGTTGATTGCAAGAGATTTTATGGTAGGAGGAGGAGTGGGAAAGAAGGGGAGAGATAGATTGGCTGAGGTGGGGAAGTATTAGAAGGTCAGAAAGTGCAGGGAAAAAACAAAGTTGAGTTGGAGAGAAAAAAGAATTGTGTGGTAGAAAATACCTGTTCTTATATAAGAGTAATTCTCCTTTACCAGTACCAAGACTAAGTAAATAATCTATATTGAAAAACCCAATTTGTATTTAATTTACATAGAAACAAAACTTTCATAATATAATCCTGTGACATCTGAGGATACTGTGGCATTTGAGGGGATTTTTGAAATCATTAATGGCATATGAGACCTTTACCGAATAAATAAATGAGGATAACTCCCAAATTGACTACTTCAGTCATCTTATCATACCAAGAACGATAAACACCCTTCTCATCAAGTATGATACCACTGTACGAGTACCTTCTGATAAGGTGGGACATGTCTGACTCAGATAGTCTAACTAGCGGGCTACTACAGAGGGCCGGAAGAGGAGGCCGTCTATCACAATCGGAAGATCATGGGTGTTAAGATGATTGTCCCTTTGTTGTAGTCACCAGTCCACGGCGAGAGTTTTATAAGACTCTTTTCCTTCACCGAAATTTAGCATGGGCCGAGTAGTTATGAATGAAACGATTATATCCAATATTGTAATTTCCTAAATTTTCGGAAGTTCGATTGATTTTATTTTCATATCCTAAATACTTGTTCATCTGCTCTGTTAAAACTTCGGTATTAGCGTGAGTAGCATTGTTTGTATCCCTCCAGAATTAAACTGGACACCATGTGTATCGCACCGTACCCGAGCACAGCAAGCTGGGTACGAGTACCATCTGGGGCAGTCTCACATGAACATTTTGATTGTGATGGCTCTCATAATACTCGTGATGCCTTGAGCGCAGGACGGTCCAATCACCAGCGGAAAGTGGAAGAAACCCCAGAAATAAAGAGCCCGGGGCACGAGACAGAACTCTGCCAGTGACGGATTGAACGCAAACCCAAGGAAGTTGCGGAAACGACCTCTCTAGCTCTCCTTCCCTCCCCCAACACTCCATTTCGACTACCACCTTTCCTCTCCCCCCCACACAACTTCCTCGTTCCCCCCAAACCGGCTTCCTTCACATTTGTCTCCTTTTCTCTCTTCTCACTCCTTTTCCTTCTTATTTCTTGTTGGCGGTAGAGAGGCCAGCTCTTTCACTATTAAACATAAACAATAAGTCGCGTTTATTTGTTCCTCACTTTCCGGCCTGCGCAGACACCAGCAGCATTCTGGTCCTATCCAAACTTGAGAACAGCACCAGCTCCTGTTAAGGACTGTCTGTTTTCATCGGTCACCGCAGCCCCCATGTTACGATACTTGGGAGCCACGCTGTTCTTCACCTCTTCGCTTTCTACTAGTCTTGCGGAAGCGCGCAATACTTCGGTAACGCTCGATAAAGATTTGCTTCAAACTCAACATCTCTGGAGCTTGGATAACCGGCCGGCCGAATGTCCGCCCTGGTATGTTCCATCCCCCTCAAGCATACGCGAAACCTCACTCCCATCCCGGCACGAGCCTCACGAAGAATAGTAGATACTTCGGAGGTGGCCACTTTGATCCTGATTTTTATGATGATACTGACGACTGTCATCTCTAGCTTTAACTGTTTGCTCCCAGCCTTTAACTGCAAGCAGTTTGCTGAGTGCAGCTCTCACGATGGGAAGTGTGAATGCCCTCCAGGTTTCGCAGGGGATAACTGTTTGCAACCGCGTAAGAATATGCCGCTGTACTAGCCGATTTTTTAAGTATCAGGATACCTTGGCGCGAATTTGTATGAGGCTTGGCGCCAAGGTGTCAGGATATTAAAAAAATCGGCTAGTACTCCCAGGTGGTCATGGAATTCGGCTAACGTTGGACTTCCTACTAGTTTGTGGTTCCCTCGCTGGCGACCAACACCGGCCACTGAAGGGTGATGGCCCATGTGAGTGCGACGAAGGGTGGAGCGGAATCAATTGCAATGGTTCGTGTTAGGTTGTTCGCCGAATTGCATTAAACTGGTTAGGTTAATGATGGAAACACTTTAGTTTGTCAAACCGATAATGCTTGCGACGCCCTTATGCCTCAGGGTGTCGACGGCGTGTGTTACAAGCAGGGCATTGCAGTCAAGCAAAACTTTCAAATGTGCGATGTAAGGAGTAAGTTCTCGAATAATGGACATTAGATGTTGCAATTTTAACCTGGGCTACCCTTAGATCGGAAAATTCTCGAGATGTTGAAGAAAAATCCTCAAGTGACCTTTTCTTGTGATAAGGGATCCGCGCAGTGTACTTTCCAATGTGAGTTACATCTACGAAGAATTATCAAAGCTCTTACCCGAGGATAACATCTTCCTTAGTTTGGGTTGATCAGGTGGAGTCGTTCTACTGCGCTCTTGATGGGTGTAATTGGGAGCTACAGACATCACCTGATAGAAATATTACCGACTACGAATGCACAAATGTTAAGTGCGAGTGTATTCCGGGACGAACCCTGTGTGGCGAGGGTGGCACAATTGATCTTAGTGAATTCTTGACCGAGGGAATTACTGGACCAGCGACCTTCTCGTGCGATTCTTCGAAACCGGATGATCAGTGCTTGTTCTCAGAAAAGGCTATGAATGAAGTCATCTCCTCAATTTTTGGGGACGAAAACATCCTGCTGAACTGCGACACCGGAGAGTGTTTGCATCGATCGGAGGTTCCTGGATATACTAGACCGATCAAAACTATTAACAAACCTCTCATCGCTGGAGTCATTTCCGGAGTTGCTCTCTTTATTGTAACAGCGATTCTAGGTTTATGGTACTTGAGCCGGCGCGCAGGACAACGCAATGGATTAGGGTCTATCCATCTACCAGATGATGACGACGAGGGTACAAGACTTATGACAGAGCACTGGCCAGCGGCGCTGCACTTTGATAAGCTTTCCTATTCTCTTAACGAAAAGCGAATTCTGAAGGATGTTGCTGGTGCGGTCAATCCGGGCCAGGTTATGGCTATCATGGGTCCTTCTGGAGCCGGGAAAACAACGTTTTTGGATATTTTGGCCTGCAAGAACAAGCGTGGTGTTGTTGGTGGTAATATCTATGTCAATGGCTCTCTTGTCTCGGATGAGGAATATAGGGAGGTCATTGGATTCGTCGATCAGGAAGATACCATGATGCCAACACTCACCGTTTACGAAACCATTCTCAACTCAGCACTCCTCCGGCTTCCCAGGGAAATGAATTACCAGGCAAAGAATCGGCGTGTTATGGAAGTTATGGGGCAACTGGGCATTTTGGGAATCAAGGACCAAATCATTGGCACCTCCGAGGACAACGGCCTTCGTGGTATCTCTGGTGGTGAAAAGCGGAGAGTAGGAATTGCCTGTGAACTTGTCACCAGCCCCAGTGTTCTGTTCTTGGATGAGCCTACAAGCGGCCTTGACAGTTTTAATGCATATAACGTGGTCGAATGCCTGGTCAATCTAGCAAGGAATTACAAGCGTACTGTGGTCTTTACGATTCATCAGCCGAAGAGTAATATTGTTGCGCTTTTTGACCAGCTGGTTCTATTGGCAAAAGGTCGATGTGTCTATTCCGGCCCGTTTGATAAGTGCCAGAGGTTAGCTTCATCACAGTAGCGCATGATGTGTTCAAGCGCAATAACTAACTTGGATTTTGTAGATATTTCGATAAGCTTGGCTACCCATGCCCTCAAGGCTTCAATATTGCTGATTATCTGGTTGACTTGACGATGCATGCTGAACAGAGGCGATCTACACCCCGCGAAGAGCCCTTGATTGAGGCTAGTGAGGCGCCCATTCCCGTCAGCCCTAGGCCATCACCGAGCGTTATGAGTGAGAGTGCTAGCGCCGATTGCAGTCCAAGGAAGAAGTTTCGTAAGAGAGGTGATTCGATTCGAGCTCTACAAGAAAGGCAGCTTTTCACACGAAGACGTTCTGAGTTCGCATCTGGTGGTGCCGAAGAGGTTATGATGTCAGATTCTTTGGAGAATACACGCGCTTGGAGAGACTCTAGCGAACCTCGGCAAAGCCTCGAAGAGACTGAACATCTTCTTCCGCCTGTTGCCCAAAGTGGGACTGATGCTACCGACCTAGACGTCTTGATCGCGGCCTATAAAGATTCGGATGTGGCAGTTGGTGTCAGGGACGAAATCGAAAATGCTGCACGCGTTACCCTCAACGGCGCCATAGACGGCAACGCTAACGGTAACGCGGACGATCACGGGGTCTCTGGAGCAATGAAAGGTTTCAGGAGGGTTGGGTGGATTGGACAATTTGCTATTTTGAGTCGAAGGACTTGGAAGAACTTGTACCGGAACCCACTTTTGATGCTTGCTCACTATGCGATTTCTATTCTTCTTGGAGGTTTGCGACAGTTTTCTCTCTCTCAACTACGGTCAAAGTGTTTTTGCTGATTCCTGTCTAGTTCTTTGTGGATACCTTTTCTTTGGCGTTAGAGATGATATCTCTGGATTTCAGAACCGCATGGGATTAATTTTCTTCGTTTTGGCACTTTTCGGGTTCAGCACGCTTACGAGCCTGAACGTATTTGCCGCGGAGAGAACCCTATTCTTGAGAGAGCGCGCCAACAGGTACTACACACCGGTCACATACTTTGCTGCCAAGGTCACGTTTGATATCGTTCCATTGAGGGTCATCCCGCCTATCATCATGGGGGCAATACTCTATCCGATGGTTGGCTTCGTTGCTGAATGGCCCGAGTTCCTTAAGTTCATGCTGGTCCTCATCTTGTTCAACTTGGCTGCATCCGCTATCTGCCTTTTCATTGGAATAGTGTTCAAGGACACCTCCTTAGCGAACCTTGTCGGCAGCTTGGTCATGCTGTTCTCACTCCTATTCGCCGGATTGCTCTTAAATCACGACAGTATTCCAAAGGGGGCACTCTGGCTACAAGCCGTCAGCATCTTTCACTACGGTTTCGAAGCGTTGATCGTGAACGAAGTCAGATATCTAAGCCTCTACGAACACAAGTAAGTGACCCCCACCTCCGTCCCTACTCGAGCGACTCTAACGGGTTGAACCAGGTTTGGCCTTGACATCGAAGTCCCTGGAGCAACTATCCTGAGCACGTTCGGCTTCGACAGTTTGGCCTATTGGAAAGACGTCATCAACCTTGGCATCTTTGCAGGAAGTTTTATAATACTAGCGTACGCAGCTATGCACTTGCTACTTGTTGAGAAGCGATGATGTGCCTGTCATTTTGTTATATCTCCCATCTTCCGGGCAGACATGCAGGCACATATAACATGCGCAGGAAGCGATGGAATGGCATGAGATGTATAATGGGTTGCGGGTGCAAAGACAGTGGATTGAAGGATTTACCTTGAGAATCACAGCATCAAGAATAGATATGTTTACAAGTACAGTACTCTAGATGGTGGGGGCGGGTACAAACAACCGCTGGAAATGATATATCGGGGTCTGCCTTTTTGCTTGTTTTTTGTAAGTAGCATTTTTCTTCTACGTAAATAGGAGTTGGGATGGGGGATTTTATTTCTTTCTCTTTCTCCTCTCTTTTTCTTTTTTCGCTCACAGTCATGTGCTTTTAATTCACCATACATACTCGAGCACATATGCAGTAGCCTGCTCTACTTTGCCTAGACGATAGACTACCGTGTAATGCGGTACTGTACTCGAGTACTTGCATTGTACTTGAGGCCCCCTTCATCCTCGACGGTTGTCTATTGTCTCCGTAATGGTGTTGCCTTATTGAAAGATATTTTTATGAAGTTGATTGTTAAGGTTTAAGTCAGGATCTTGATTATTACATTACAGTTACCTGGACATAGCGGTTGTCATGTGACAGTGGTTGCCGTGTGACAGGACGCGGCAGAGATCTTTTTATCCTACCTTTCTAAGAACTAATATTTATCCTTTATAATTATATTATTATCTTATAATATTTACTGTGTTAGTGTTACTACTTTATCATTGTTCTCAGATATAAGTTTTCTATATAATACTTAAATCTCCAAGATATTACTCATCCGGCAATGAAGTAGTTGTTCAAGTAAATGAATTTTTCTTATACTTAAAAGTAATTTTTATTTATATATAGTAAATTTCCTGTCCATTTTTAGTTTTGTATATTATTATTATAAAATTATACTTGAGAGTAATAATGAATAATGTAGCTATTTTAATGATTTGAATAAGTTAATCAAGCTGCTCATTACAACATATAACATCCAATGAGCCCAAAACAGACATGACTAAGGAACACAGAAAATGCCAAGGTACTTATGTGATCAAAAAAAGAAAGGACCAAAGTAAACAGGATTTAGGGTATAGACTACAAAACTCATAGAGGCAAAACCATAAAGAATTAATTGTAAGATCAAAGTTATAACATAGTGGAGGTTGAAACTAAAATAGATAAAGATAAGAAATACTCAGGTAATAATTATGGAAATGTATTAAGTTAACTAAAGATTTAACGAATAAGAGAATACTATCTTGCATAAGTAAGCTGAGTGGAAATACTATGTAAAATAAAGAAATAGAAGATATGCTAAAATAGAAATGGAAAATTAGGATAAGAAAAATATTTTTAGTATTACAAAATAGAAAGCAATCTAGAGACAATAGCTAGAGAAAACTAGAGAAAATAGTAGTCATGTCTTACAATGAAAATAAAACTTTTAATGAAAATAAAATTCATAGAAATAAATTTAAAAATCCAGCTACTGAATCAGCATTTCAAATCTCCTTTCTACCTTCTTTACTCTCCTCTCCTCCTTTAATCAAACTCAGCTACGTACAAGATTTATTCTTTATAAATATCAATCTCAACTTCTTTCAAAAACACAATATGAAATTTACTACAGCAACTAATACCTAGCAATGGATGATCTTTCTTACTACTATGAGTACAATTTCAGATAGCTTCAATCCACACCTCACCATTTGTCACAAAATAACTATGTTTCCAAATACCATTTCAAAAAGGCGATGGGCTCAAACTGCTCAACATGAGTCAATGGCCAGTATTGAAGAAGAAGAGTTGATGTAAGTGTAAGGAGCTGTTTTAGTTGAAGTTGGGACTCTGGGACTGACACTTAGTAGCATTTTACCGATGATCAATAATGTAGGAATTCTTGCTGTATTTACCAACCCACTTGGGAATAAAATTAAACAGCAAGTAACAATTTGTCATTTGGCACACTTATACCACCTACTTCCAGCATGGTATTCTTGACATATACAATCCAAACTATGCTTCTGGAATGGATTGGCTGTTAGCTTGCAAAGTGATTGCTTTAGTACTAGAATTGGTCAAGGAGTTTAATGGCAGAAGAAACAATACAAAGCTTCATGAGGTTTGGATTGGTGGATAGGAGAATACAGGTATTAGCCGTCAGGAAATGACATGCTAGTAGATTGAGGTGGAGATTACTATGAAACAGAGATACGAGTTAGGAAATTGGAAGATGTAAATAGGCTGGATTAAGCTTCACTTTTAATCAACCTTTGTAATACAAAGTTAATTGAATCAATTATATCAAGTCTTGAAAGTCTCAAATAATCAAACAGCTACTTTAAGTAAATTTCAAGATCACTGTTATTCAACTATGAACAAGCAAAATACAAGCCTTAAGGTCTGGAGAAAGCTTTTGCTAATATTCTTTTATTTCAGGGATCTTCGCATATTTAGTATGATTATCCTATCAGATACCTAATAAATTAAAATTGAGAGTTTCTACTAGATACAGTAAAACCTATTTTATATTAGCTTATCGTATTAAAACAAGAGTAGAAATTTGTTTTCACCCATGTGGTTCATACAAGGACAATTACTTGTAGTTTATATTAGTAGTAAATTGATACTATGGTACTAAAAGTACTAGCTGTCCTCCCCTCGAGACCTCAGAGCCCTCCTCGTAAAGTGTAGGAAAGCACTCTAGGGGGTTGCTTCTTTCTTGCTTTTTTTAATTTCCTTTCTTACCTGCTTGCATACCATCGTGACCTCTGGGAATACTAGACTGTTACCAGTAGGGGCGGGGGAGCATTGGCCAAGCAACCAAGGCGCGTTGCTCTGGTTATTGTTTAAATTATTTTATTATTATAGTTCCAGCAGACGATACTCTATCCCGGTTTTCTCATAAAAAGTGAGACAATTTTACTGGTAATAGCAATCATAATACTAGGAAAAGTTCTTACCCTACTTGTTTAGTTGAACAATGCTAACATTTCAAACTTTATTTTATTTTAATATTATCATAATAAATAATACTTCAAGAATTAGAAATAACTAGGTTATTTAATGTAGAAACTATAATACATCTACTTTTAATTCTGCTATTTGACTATGAAATATGTATATTGGTTAGGAGTACTGAGATCCGATACCTAGGAATACCTCTAAGTAGGGTATCTCCACTCAGAATTGGAATCTCAGGTGTCTAACACCAGGCTCTGGCCCCCTTATGTGGTCTACATATCATGATATATATTGATCTAAGTTGCACCTTGTGACAATAATGCTACAGAATTGCAGGTGTCAGAATAATACTATATATGTCTCTACTGTCTGTCTGACCAGATCCTGTTTACTATATATATGAGAGGAAATCTTTAGCTAGGTGGAGAAAGTGGAAAGGAGTATATCTGCCAAATACCCAGAGAGTTACTACACTTTAAAGATGGGCCAAGCTTGGTAAGGACTGTAGGTAATAGGATGATTTTGTACAAAGATATAATATTGAATATTGGAGGATCTCTATGAAGAGCCAGCATATTCTCAGAAGCACGTCCCGTGACTTATAATTAAGTCATGTGCGAAAAATAACAAATTAAAACATGACATGTCATATGACCTATATGAGGCATATGCGTAAAACAATAACAGACCTATGACTTATAATCATGAGTCTTGTGAACATGCTTTCCCTCTCAAGTGACATTCATGACACCTAGGAACTAAGGTATAGGTTTATAATTCTGGATGCTTCCAAATAGCGCCCAAGATTCTCACACAGTTGATGGTACTTCTTCACAAATCTCTCCACTTCTCTGATAGATTTTCTGATACCTGAATAATAAGTCATCTCATGGAGTATCACAGACATGTCAGCCATATAGGTTTATCCGACATCAAACTCATGCTCAACCTCGTAGTTGGTTGTGTCTAGTTGACAGCAAAACAAGTGGGTGTCTAATTCATATTCAGAATCAGGCTGGTCACTATCGTATTGCCAGGGGTTATGAGGTAATTTTGCAGATTCCGTATCATGCATATCATCATACAAGTAAGCATACTGTATGTGCAATGGAAGAAGAGGTTAGAGATTAGCATGCACTTCTCATATGTGCTTCTGATATCAGCCTACACCGGTGTATTTGCACTAATAAAATGAACATTTTGTAGGCATTGTGGAACTCCATGCACTAGATTTTTAAGATGCTGGTGAGTAAAAGCTGGTACAAGAGGAATGCTCATATTTATGTGTATTGACTCTGCTAGTGGCTGGTACCAAAGGGAGACCTGAGATGCAACTAACTTGAATGCTTGCATAGGTTTAGCGAAAGGTATCAGCTGGCATACAAAAAGGATGGAGACTTGTTGGACATCTCAAGAGTAAATTACAAGGGAATTTTGAAAAGCCTTCTCGCTGCTGACAGCACAAGCGAATCTGTTGTTTAAACTGAAGTCATTACAATCAAAAGATAATAATATTAAGAAAAATATTCATGACTCATACAATATTTACATTCACAGTGTGCACAATATTCAGACTTGGAAGACACTGAACAACATGGCCTAAAATGATAACTTGTTGTATGTCCTGATGCCAATTGTTTCAAAAGGACATATAGCTTTATCAGGAGATGTGTACCAGCTCCCTGCCATTGCTCATGTGGGCACAATTACTGTTGCATGGACTGGTAATTACAAAATCAACCGGGATAAGACCTGACATTATTTCATTCATGATAATCTAGGCTGACAGATCTATGGAGATGGTAAAATACAGTACAAGACAAGATATTAGCAAGGAATTATAACAAAATCAATTCATTTCTTGATAGCAATTTCAGAGAGACTTTCTATGATATGAGGAGACTGCAGTCCATATACGATACTCTTATGATGGTGGAGCCCAATAATGTGGCACGAAGGTAGCAGATCAAAGTGGCGATCATTGCACTTGTTAAGAACAGTGGCAAGAAGTTAAGTGTCTCACTTTGGAAAAAATGTGCTTCTCAACCTGTGCTGGGTGTCCAAGTAATTATTCCTGTATATATAATTGTAGAGCAGGGCTTGCTGCAGCTGGATGGCAGGACTCAATAGGGAGATAACATAACACAAGCTCCTGCACCAAAAAGAATGCCCAGTGGTGAAATTAGACAGAATTACCAAGATAACAAAGAGAGTGGGTCCCTGGACTGAGATAAAGCCCCTCCAACTAGGCAATGTTTAATTAAGAAGTATGCTGTGAAAGATGTTACAGCTACAGAAGAGGATCACAGTTATGTTGACTAATTGGAGGTAGCTACAGGCAAAGAATTTTTGTTTCAGGAAGCCTTGACAAAGAGTGCCCATGCTGACAAAAAGGATTGTGACAATGCAGACCTGGATAAGGTATCTATACATATAAAATGTGGTGCTCAGGAATGCGAGACCAAGAGTACTCAGGCAGACAATGAGGATCAGTAAGCTGAAGACTTCTATAAGTTACTGACATTCAAAAAAGAGTCAGGTTCAGGATTGTGTGACAAAAAGTATACATGCTGATGAAGAGGAATGTGACAATGCAGACCTCTATGATACTACTACGCCTAAAGAATTGGGTTTGCAGGAATCTAACAAATTGGGAATCCAGACTACTGAAGAGTATCTCAATGATACAGACCTCTATGAGGCACTTACATCC